GAAGAAAGTCATATACACCTAGGATGACTTGAGGGTGAGTAATTTATGGACTAATTTTCATTTTTGGGTGAACTAACCCTTTAAATGTTTTGCCACTTGTTTGAGCAACTGTTTTGTGCTGTGTGTAAGCTATTGTGCAACAATTGCACGAGTGTAAAAACAAAAATGCACTGCATGATCGAACATTTAGGTGAGATAAATATATATTTTTGAAAATGTCGAAAAAATGCTCCCCTCCACCCCTTAAATAAAAAAAAATAAATAATCCCTCTCACAAGAGTCACCTATAAGAGGGAAATTCCCCCCATTTTCAAAAATGAAATTCAGGCCCTGAATAAATGTCTAAAATTCCTGATTGAAGTATTACTATAAATAATTCTACATAATAAAAATAAGGCTTTAAAAAGATCGGTATCGGTGATCGTAAGAGTAAAAGAGTAGCCTATTTAAAAGTACTCATGAGTATTGAGTAGTGAGTACTGAGCTGTGGATTCTATCCCCTCATAATAAACGCTGTACACCGCAATTTATATATTTTAAAAACGTTGTACATTCTGTAATTCACATTATCTTGTTTGTCATAAAGAATGAAGAATATCTTATCATCCAGCAGTTTTAATTTTGACTGCCAACTCTTTAAAATACATCAAAACAGCACGGAAACAGTATTCAGTTGAAGAAAAGATGAAAGTTATTCTCAGTACAATCATCCCCATTTAAAATCATAAAGTTTGAAAAAATAGATTTAAAATCATATATTAAACTACTCAAAAAAGTACAATTACTGATAAAAAAAACTACTTAATTACTGTAACGTGAGTATTTGTAATTCGTTACTTCACACCCCTGGTGATCGGCCTCAAAAATCCTGATCGGAGCACCCCTATTTAAAATACATTCAAATAGAAATGAGTTATTTTAAACAGTAAAACTATTTCAAAATTGTACTGTTTTTGCTGTACTTTGGATAAAATAAATGCAGGCTTGGTTAATTATATATAAATATAAATAGTACAATTTTCCACAATACATTTTTTTATTAAGCAATAAAAACTGGAAGAAATGAAAATAGTAATGTACAATGTAAAAAATAATAATAATTTTTTTTTAAATATATATTTTTAATAACGTAAATAATTAAATAAAAATAAATGTTACATTTTAATTATAAAATTAAATATTAAATAATTAACAATCAATCAACAATAATCTAAAAAAAAAAATACTGTTTTTTTTTTTACCTGGTTTATCAATTGTTAATAGTTTGCTTCAAATTAATGAACACGAAAAGATGAAAGCCAAGGAAGTGAGTGAGATATGTTTTTAATCCAATTATCATGGTTTTCAAAAGTAGGCACTACCATAGTATTCTTTAAAGTAAATTGGTACATTGTGGTAATAATTCAGTACCACATGATATGTTTCAAAGTTGCTGAAATTATAATAACATAAAATAACACATTAGCATCACTATACCATGGTATTATCATTTTTAAGGGTAAACCTGGAATAAAATACATAATGAATTATGTCAAAGATGTTCTATAACTCTATAGTACTTAGTACTTTCTCTGATGAATCTGGCGTCTTTAAGACTACAGAGGAAGGCAGCAATCTTTGTTTTACTGCAATAGATGGCCCACTTGTCTCACTCCATACTGACTTTGTCACAGCGGTCTACTTATGTATGGCAGCCTCATCCTACATCGCACCTCAGGCCACCGCTTTTAGCGCTCGGCCCAACGGAGGTAACAGTGATAAATAAGCACGCAGCCCCAGGCCCCGCGTCTGCCAGCACAGAGGGATAAAAAGGACAAATAAAGCAGGACGGAGGGCGACAGACTGATTTAGCAAGGCCGTTCGGGCCTGACACTGATTGGGCCCTGGTCACTTTGAAAGGGCCACGGTGCATGTCCGAGAGCGAGGCCAAACGACCA